CCTGCTCACGAAAACACATCACAGAGGCTGTTTAAGGGTGATTGATATCGGCATTGCCTTGCGACATTATCAGGCAATAAAGGCTACTCAGGTTCTAATGCAACATGTCATACACGGACGGGCTCCTGTAGTACATTTCTATTGAGGACCTCACAGGCTAAATTGCTTTCGCCCCCACCACTGCCGCTGCCCCCCCCCCTCCCTCCTCCCCCTTTTTCCTCACATCTCAGCCCGCTTGACAGACAAATTGATCAAAGCATTGTAAAATAATATGCTCACAAAATGTCTCGGGGCAGGAGTCCGGACTTTTTTCCTCTCCATTTTTCATCTTAATAAAAAAAAAAAAAAAAATTAAGGGAAAAAAAAAAAAGAGCAGTACGATTTCCTCAGTGTTACGCCCGCGTGAGAGATTCAAGCAGTATTATATTTCATACAATACGCTGTAAACAAAATATGAAGCATTATTTTCCGTCGGGGTGGCCATGCTAAAAAAAAAAAAAAAAAACACAAGAAAAAAAGAAGGGGGGGGGGGGGGGGGGGGGGGGGTTGAGTCTGGTTAGCAGGAGGCTGGTACGTCGGGGCCCCAACTGGGGTTGTTGGAGATGTAATGAATTTGTTCATGTGATGGTGCCTTCAGGGCTGTCGTTAAGACTGGCAGAGAGGAAGGTTGATTTCGGCAAACGTTGCGAAGATCAGTTAGGGAGCAAAAGGGGCTTGAGACGTTTCTATTAGAAAGAGCTGACGGTCATGGTGCGTAAGCAATACTTCAAGGGCGTTTATGTGGCTATAATGGCGGTTATCAATAACTATCTATCAATGCCACCAGCGCTTTTGCTGCTGTTGCTGCAGCTGCTCGGGCAAATTTGGCAGCGAGGAGAAACGACGGCACATTCGTGCGGCGCTCGCACGTCTTCTCGCGATGCATAAAATGTATTTCCCTTATCCAAAATATGGCCTGGGAGATCATTTATCAGCCTGACTCGCTAAGCCCGCTGCACAGTGCACCAAAAGCTGACAAGAGCCTTGTTTAGTATGTCATAAATAAATCAATGGAAATGGCTGATCCCCACTATTAAAGCTACAGGAAGGCTTTTGTGAGATCTACATAGGGAAGCTGATATTTTGTCACTTGATCGGGCCTGCCTTAAAGGGGAAGTCACGTCAAAAAAAAACATTCTTGACAATACTATATTCGATTCGGCCCCACTAGTCTAAGCACGGCACTCGGATTAATATTGCATTTGTGGAATATGAATTTGGAGGGTTTTTTTTCCATCTCAGGTGGCAGCCATTTTGCCACTTGCCGTCAACTGAAAATGACATCACAGCGCCGAAGGGCGAAAGTCACGTGACCAAACCTGAGAAAACAGGTGAACCGTGATCGGTCATTACCCGGGTCTTTGGGCACTGTGATGCCATTTTCAGCAAGTGTCAGAACGAGACAAAATGGCCGCCCCGTGAGATGGCGAAAAACGGGAGGATTTCGCTGTTTTTTTTTTTTTTTTTAAATTCAAATTTCACAAAGCAATATTAATCACTTTGCCGCGTTTAGACTAGTGGAGGGCGCACAGATCATCCACTGCCCTCGATAATTATTGGCACCCCTGGTTAATTAAGATGTGGACTTAACTTTCGAATAAATTCCGTTTTCTCAACAATAGATGACTTTTTTTTAAAAGGAGAAAATCCAACCTTTAATTCAGGTGGATTTTATTCAGTGGGGGGGGGAATCCCACATGAAGAAATAATCCTTTTGCATCAAATCATGTGTACCATAATTATTAGCACCCGTGATGTTAATAGCACATGCCCCTTTTGCCGACAAAACAGCACCTAATCTCCTCCGATAAAAGATGGGAGAGTACCAAGCGAGGGATCGTCAAGCCTTCCTCTTTGCACAATCTCTCGAATTCATTCGGTGACCTGGCTCCTCTCCTCCGCACTCTCCTTGAGGGCTGACGCCACAAGTTTTCAATGGGGTTGAGGTCTGGGGAGGAGGTGGACTCTGTGTCCGGTGAACCATGTGTCCAATTTTCAGCTCGAGTGTATGCTTCGGCAATAAAAACTGAATTCATTTATAGGCTTTTTAACACATTGCAAGCAGGGGTGCCAATAATTATGGAAGGCACCGTATTATTGTTAGAACATTTTTGATGACCGGAGCTCCCCCCCGCTCCCCTTTGCTACCGCGGACTCCTTTTCGCCACACGGCCAAAGCCAAACATTTTCTTTCACAATTTCTGCCCGGCACCTTGGAGAATGTGAGCCGGGCTTCACTTATGACCGACACCGCAAACGATATTAAACCGAGAGATGATCTAGTGGTGCGAATCATTAAATTCATTTGCATATTCCTACTGAACCCGAACGCACAAATTAAAGCCCGCTCGCAAAGAGATGGGAGAAAGGTGCCCGGGCATGGTTATAGGACATCTTCCATCATCAAAATTCCATATTATTAATCTCTTCACTTCAACTCATTAACAACAAGTGGAATGTTTTTTACTGCTTGATGAATTTGAGGCCGTCGCACACAGCCAGGAAACACGTGTTGAGGTAGAATATACAAGGTCATTAATGGGTTTCCATAAATTAGAATTTAAACATAGAACTTCCTATCCGGGTGCATTTGGAAATGGTTTAATTTCCCAAACCATTCAAGGTTATCAAATGCGAAGCTGTGATACATGGATATTTAATTCCAATCTAATCACAACTAATCTGCGACGTCGGGATGTGGACCTGCAGAAATAAGGAGGAACTACGTATTAGCGCCGGGTTTAATCAGTCTCAATCGCTCCAGTAAGACTGTCGACATTCTGACAATTTTGAAGGATGGCCGGGGCGTGAAATGCAATTACATTTGCCGCCGCCGTGGCTGCGTACTCCAAAAGTGCCCGCGCTCAACTTGCTGGGAAACATAAATAAACAGGACCGGCGCCTCGCCCCGACGCGCGCTCCCCAACGTGGCCTTTTGCGACCCCCGCAGACACGGCGCTCTAATCGACTCCCGCGTGAGTAATAAACCGGTTACTTGGGTGAAATTTCAAATACGGAGGGTGAAAAAAAAAAAAGGAGAAAAAGAAAAAGAAAAAAAAAAATCACAAGCGGGC